AAAATTATTATAAATTTTATCTACAAGTGGCAACTACATATATTTCAAAATATTTATGTATTATATTTAAAATTGCTTTAAACTTTTCATATATAAGTTTTTATTCAAAAAGCGCTATTTGTCACAACTTTTAAAATATAATTTTTTTTCTATAAGTGGCAACTCTACTCTCAAACACTAGTAAATTTAAGATATCTAGAAAACTTTGCGCATAATTAAAAAAATGCGGTTCAACACACATTTTAGAATATTTCTATATAACTTATATAATCGATAAGTGGCAACTCTATTTCAATATGCTTCTAAATTTCCAGTATACTTCTGTGCATACATTCATATTCTATTACTTTAAGTATTGTTTTCTACGAATATACATATTTATGGTATACTTTGAATTGAATTCTAAACATTAAGTAAAGCCATAAATGTTCCTCCCTCAAAAATTGCTAACGTTCTATTATCATTTGCGTTATTGTTCAATAAATTCTTATTTAATTATTTACCGTTTATTATTTAGAACTTACTTTATTTCTAAAATCGATAAAAAAAAGAAAAGAAAGAAAACTCTGTGAACAAAGCAAAGCTCATTCTTTTAAGTCATATGACTTCACGCTTTTATGGCTATTTATACGGTGATTTCAAAAGGTAACCTTTTGGACTTAAATCGCCGCCAAATGACATTGTCAAGGCAAAAATACTCAATAAAGTTCGACATTACCTGCTTGTGGTAATCATTACTTCGAAAGGTTTATCAATGTTTCTTATACGCCGTGGACTTCGAGCTTTTCGTCTGCTGAGTGAACAAAGCGGTTTAAAGATAACACACGCCATTAAAGCACAGACATTTATTTTAATTAAAAAGTAACGGAGATATGTGTCCGATTTTCTTGTCACACTTTTTATATTGCTTGTAAAATTTAACTTCATAAAAGAGCATATGACCAGAATGAGTTTTATAAAGCCAATTTCAATGTGTTTCTGGAGCTTTCTAACATAAAATAAAGTGCGCATATGAGTATTTTACTAACAGTGCAGGCGTGTTAAAAATTTTAGAAAGGGTTATGGTTTTTTCTTCATACAATCAAGTTATGACCAATGAAATACATGTCTGGCACAGGAAATTATACTGAGAGGAACTGTTCTTCTGTTTTGGATTAGAAATGCTCTTAAATGTTATTATTTATATTTTGTAAGCGAGTTGCAATAGAACAAGAAACTCGGTAAAAAATGTCTAAAGGGTTCAACGGCACTCTTAGCATTGTAGAAACCCATGCATACGCAGGCGAAAGCTTATAGAATGACAGAAATTACATTAAGAATGCCATAGAATGAGGGAGAGTCAGGGCAAAAGGCCAGGCACTTCATTAGGGTTTCCTAAATATTCTACTGCTAACCCAAAAAATATCGGTAACGCGCCTATTCAGCAACCTCTTTACTATTTTTAAGTATTTTTATTTAAATCTCTGTACCGAAAAATCAACTATTTCGATCAGGTGATCTCAGCTGTTGACGACCATATGATTCATTTGAAACTTGTATATTTCTACAATGACTCTTAGCATATCAGCTGTCAAATAGATTAATTTTTTGTTCGTTTGTAGATATTTTGAGAGATATGACTGCGAATTTTTGGGAAATTTGTTTACTTTTATTTTGTTTTCATGAAACATTGAAGTCGCTTAGTTTTTAACTAACTTCCTTAAACTTAAAAAATTGCCATTTTGTGTTGTTGATTTACGCAATTGTTAGAGAGTAGTTTCTTTGTCTGCGGATTCTTAGGAAACAAGTCTAATGCATTTTAAATCAAATCTGGGAAAGTACGACCCTGTGATTCAATGACATGAGCTTGAAAATCTATGCAAGTGCTGCAATTTTGAGAGTGCCGTGATCGCTAATATCATATATGATGATATTTCGATGATTGCTTTTGATTTCGGCGTTTGATAGCCCTAGTTTGCAATCTGGCAACTCACAACTTTGTCGTAAAGTTTGACTTTTTTGAAGTCATACATACTCAGAACGTTTTGACATACGAGCGCTTTTTGTGTGATTTACAGTAACTTAAAATATTCATGTCGGCCAAAAAAGAAATGAAATTGCGAACTTTTTCGCTCGTGGATTAACTCAGTAACAGTGCTTCGATAAAATTAATTAAATTTCTGGAGATAAAACTTCAACATAGGCCAGCGTTTATCGATGCTATGGTGAATTCAATCGAGGTCGTAGATCACTTCAAGACAAATTCGGTGAGGATCATCCAAAATATGTTGTTGTTCCGAAAACTATTGATGCTGTGTACAAACTAATATTGCCAGAACGCCATGAGGCCTAACTTTAGATTGAGACTACTACAGGCATTAGTAGGACCAATCACCAAACGACTTCCGTCGATTGGTCGAGAGAAATTTCAAAAAATACGATAGTGCTGTATCGAAACACTTCTTGAAATCTCGACAGCAGATGAATCCTGAATTTACACGTATGAGTCCGAAAGTGAACAGGATTTTGAGATGAGCTGAAACCAACAAAAGTTATTTGTACAAGAAGCACTTCCAAGCAAATGGTTGCTTTGATTTGGAACTGGAGTTGTCGTACCATAAAACTAGAACAGCGCAGAACGAGTTCTTACACATCGACTGAAACAACTGTATTTTTGAGCACTCAAAACATCGGTTAGATGAGTTATCCACCGTATAGCAGCCACTTGACACCGAATGAATTATTTTTATTCGAATTCGTAAAAAATAAACTAACATGTCAACGTTTTTCAACACCTAAGGAGGCGATTGATGCGTTCAGAATGCATTTTTTGGAGATTGCTCAATCTGAGTGACATAAGTGCTTTGACGATTGGTTCAAACTGACACAAAAAAGAGTGAGAGT